GTCTCTCTTGGCCGACTCTTCCTACCATTCCTGTTCCCTCACCTCGCCTCGTTTGAGCGCTCTGCTGACTTGATTGCTCACCTCCGCTCGCTTGATTCTAGCTACCGCGCTGCTTGCACTGAGGCACAGCTTGCACTGCTTCCTCCCCCCATGGCGATTACTATCTATTTCATCGCCACTAGCCTCCCTGACCGCCTTGCCTCGGTCCGTGATACGCTTCTCCTGAAGCACCCTAGTGAGCTCACTATCGAGGTCCTTGAGTCTGCGCTCAAGGACGTCGAGAGCAACCTCCGCTCCGTAGCCTCCGCCTCTGGTGCTGTGCCCCCTCCACTGTTCCACGGGTGCACTGTCCCTCAGCTGCCCACCTTTACAGCCTCTCTCGCCACTGCTGCTACTGACGTGACTGCAGCTGCTGTTACGACTTCTTCGCAGTCTCGAGGTAGAGGTGGCAAGAGGGGCGGTCAGGGTACAGGTGGCAGCGGCGGTGGAGGCGTTGGCGGCGGAGGTGGCGGGGGTGGTGCCGACTGGTGGTGGAGGGAGCGCAGGGCCTGGAGAGGCGTCTCGTGCAGCGGCCAGTGACTCCCCTACTGCAGCTGGTGGAGGCGACACCCGGGCTCGTCCGCCACCTTTTGGTCTGCCGGTCGCGGCGGGTGGAGCAGCGGCGTGGTACCTGGCCCAGCGGCAGCAGCAGCTGCTGCAGCAGCAGCCCCTCCCCTCGCAGAAGCGGCGGCAGCAGCAGGTTTCGGGGACAGGACAGCGCCAGCCCCAGCGAGGTGTTGTTCACCCTTCGTGCACCTATCAGCTTTTGACAGGTGCTCGCCGAGGCCAGCCTTGTGGCCGCGCCCACCCTCCTGGTCAGTGTTTTGCTCAGCTCACTGACACAGTTCGCTTGGCCTTCGGCGTTGGCGGCCCTGCCTCTGACTGGTTTCCTCTTGTTCAGACGTACGGCTCCGATCTTTGGGGCATGTCAGCTTCTCAGTTGGTTGATCTCTTAGGAACTCCTCATGCTATGTATGCTGCTGTTGACTCTAGTGCTTCTGACTCTGTTTACTCGAGTGTTGTTAGCTTAGGTGCTAGTCTTGCTGAGTTGCCTGTTGCTAGTGTAGGCACTTGTGTAGACACTAGTCCAGGAGCTACTTCGGAGGACACTTTGCTGTCTTTCACTTTGGACTCTGGGGCTTCGCACTACTTCTTCCGGGACCACACGACACTTAATCCGCTTCCGACGCCGGTCTCTGTGGCTCTGGCTGATCCCACCTCGGGACCAGTCACTGCTCGCTACACTACTACTCTTCCGTGCCGTGCTGTTCCCTCTGGGTCTCTGACTGGCTTCCACGTCCCCTCGTTCTCGCGGAACTTGGTGGGCGTGAGGCCTCTTGTGAGTCAGCATGTGGGTGTGTGGATTGAGCCCTCAGGTGAGACGGCGGTTTGTGTTGACGGTGACACTTACACACCTCTTGCCACCTTTACAGCTGAGCCGGGCTCTGGTCTCTACACACTTCACACTGGCTCTGGTGGGCAGCAGCAGCAGCAGCAGCCGCAGCAGCAGCAGCGACTACTGCCCCCGACCCCTGTTCCTTCCCCCAGACTGGTCCCTGCGTCTCACCAGGTTGCTGCGTCCCCCCAAGTAGCTGTGTCTTGTCAGGTTCCTGTGTCTGGTCTTGTTGCTGCGTCGTGCTCCTGCCGGTCACTTGCCCACCCCACCGTTCTGTTAGAGACTAAGGACGGAGTCTACGAAGATTAGGTGCCTAAAATTCTCAAAATCGTTGGCTTAGAATTCTGGACAGAAAAGTCGCGCTCACAAGAAACGCCGTCGACGAAAAGTGCACCGTCAAAACTTCACCAAACATAGATATGTTGTAGCTCTACTTCGTGGCTACAATTCTCAAGTTGAATCGTACGAAAAGGTGAAGTATTTCTTGAGTTATCCATTTCGGCGCACTAGGGGGTATGCTGCCATGGAATCTTAACTCAATCACAAGAGTCTCACACAAGTTCACACAAGAGAATTAGAGTAGCACTAAACCAGGTGGAAGGGATGAGGAGGATGAGAGGGAAGGTCCCAAGAGAGTCCCCAACCAAGGAAACCCCATGCCACACAATTCCCTTCCCCATAGGCAACCCAACTTTGACCTTTGTCACTATCCCAACCTCCACAATCCACCTCAACCCAACTTGGCCACACTTGTCAACCTGGTTTGGTTTCTTCCAACCATTTGGCAGCAGCTACAGTAGAAAAGACGAATTTCCCAACCCCCAAAAGTCTGTACCCCATATTGAGTCAACCCCACAACGTCCCACAGTTGCCACAATCATATATGAAAGGCATACGAACTCCAACGTTCGTAACTTTCTTGATCGTGCCCCGATTGAAGCGATACTTGGTTCGTCGGAGAGCTCTTGAGCAGAGAAGTCACTTCAGATATCTGCTCAAGCCAAATAACATTTGCACACACTCAGAAAATTCAAACCACACAAAACACAATTTCTTGCACACGCTCACACCACGCATGCAACGCACGAACATATGATGGGAGGCAGACAGACGTGAATGCATATGATTGCATCACACAACAAACTCCCCCTCTGGCTGCCAACCATCATCCCACATGCCATAGCTCAAGCATGCATCCTCAATGCACACTCATCCCAGCAAGCTTCATGCCCTTCCAATGCTCAGATTCAGCCAGGCGCTTGGTGAGAATGTCAGCCGCCTGCTGATGGGTCTTCACAATCTCCAGCCGCACCTCCTTGTCCAGGAGCCTCCTCACCCAGTGCCACTTAGGCCTGATGTGTTTGGTCAGCCCATGAAGACAAGCATTCTTCGCTAGTTTCACCGCCGACTCATTGTCACAGAAAATCACAGTCGGCTCCCTCTGGCACACTCCGATCTCCTCCAACAAACGCCTCAGCCACACCACCTCCTTTGCCCCATGATGCAGGGCCATGTACTCTGTCTCACACGAGGACTGCCCCACCTCGTTCTGCTTCTTGCTACGCCAGCTCACTGCACCACCTCCAAACAGGCACACATAGCCTCCAATGCTGGTGCCATCCGCCTTCACAGAGTTGAAGCTGGCGTCGGTGTAGCAGGTCAGGAGCATCTCCCCCTTGCCCAAATCAGCTACACCCCTCTGCAGCCTCTGTCGCACAGCACTGTACTCCAAGCCCACTGATGCCGTAGCGCTCACATAGCGGACCAACCTCTTGGCCGCTTCCAGCTGCTCATGACTGGGGCGTGAAACCACACTTGCAAGCCTGGATGTAGCAAAGGCAATGTCAGGCCGCGTGTGGTTAGTCGCATAATTGAGTGCCCCCACCATGGAATGAAACAGCTTCCTGTCACTCTCACCCACCACCTCCTCATCAGCACAGGGCTCCACTGTGAACCCTGAAGGTAGTGGGGTGGCTGGCTTCCCTCCATCTTGCAGCCCATACTTCTCGGCCAACCCCTCACAGTACTTCCTCTGGTGCAACCTCAACACTCCCTTGTTAAGGTCCCTCTCCACATGCATCCCCAGGTAGTACTTCACATCTCCCATCTTGGAACACTTGAACTGCATCTCCAGCATCTCCTCCACACGCTCAATCATTGCAGACGACTCAGAGAAGAGCAGGATGTCGTCCACATACACCAGGAGCATGAGAAACTGCTCCTTCTCTTATAGCAGGAACAGGCTGTGGTCACACTCACTCTTCTTGAACCCCCCAGCCAGCAGTGTCTCCTCTAGCTTGTGGTACCATGCACGAGGAGCCTGCTTCAGGCCATAGATGGCCTTCTTCAGCCTGCACACCCTGCCGCTCCCATCATCCAATCCCTCAGGCTGTAACATGTACAGCTCCTCCAGAATGATCTCATTGAGGAAGGCGGTGGTAATGTCCATTTGCTTCACCCGCCATCCACGGTTTGCAGCCATTGCCAGTGATACTTTCAGTGTTGTGCCTTTCCCCACAGGAGCAAAGATCTCGTCAAAATCCTTCCCCTTTGTCTGCTGAAACCCCTTAGCCACAAGCCTTGACTTGTAGCGGGTCAGCTCCCCATCTGGTCCGTACTTATGCCTGAAGATCAGCTTGGAAGAAATGGCCTTCTTCCCAGGAGGCAGCTCACACAGCTCCCACGTCTCATTCTCCAGCAGAGAATCATACTCCTCCTTCACACTCTGCTTCCACTTCTCAGCATCGGGCCCGCTCAATGCCTCGGCTAACGTCTTGGGCTCAGGGACGGTTGCCCAGTAGTAGTGTGCTATCTCATCCTCATCACACTGCTCAGCCACACTCCCAGCCCGTACCACCTTTGGCTTGCCAAAGCTTGGATAGGTCAGCCGGTTAGGAGGGCGCAATTCCCTCCGGGGACGGTCAGCCGGACGTGCGGCACCTTGTGGAGCACCTTGCTGCTGCTGCTGCGGCTGCTGTTGCTGCTGCTGCTGCTCCTCCACCTCAGGTTCTCCCCCATCCTCAGTTACCCCAGAGATCTCATTCTCAGAGACAAAAACCTCCACTTGCCTCGAAGGCCGCTGCACCTCATCGGCCTCGACAATTAGCGGTGTCGTAGGAAGCTTCTGCTGCTGCTGCTTCCACTCCTTGTAGTACAAGGACTCAAGGAATTTCACATCCCTTGACACAGTCAGCTGCTGGCTGGTCAAGTCCCAAATCAGCCAGCCCTTGTGATCCTTAGCAAGCCCCAAGTGCACACCCCATCTCCCAGAAGCCTCCAACTTTCCCCTCTTCTCCTTAGGCACATGAAACACCACCATGCACCCAAAGGCTCTAAGCATGTTCACAGCTGGTGCACTCCCATACCACTTGGTGTAGGGTACCCACTGCTTGTCCCCCACAGTCGCCAGCACCCTGTTGTTCACAAGGGCGACCTGCCGAAGTGCAGTCACCCAAAACGGTTCCGGAAGCCCTGCACGCCCAAGGAGAGTTCGAGCACCTTCTTGCAGAGTCCGGTTGAACCGCTCAGCCACACCGTTCTGCTGAGGGTTGTAGGGCACTGTGAGCTAATGCTGGATCCCCTTCTTCTTCAGCACCGCCTCAAAATCAGCGCCAATGAATTCTCCTCCGTTGTCAGTGCGGATCACCTTCACCTTATGACCGCTCTCCCTTTGAGCTCTCGGCATCCACTCCTTGAGAACAGCCGCTGCCACCTCCCCCTTTGTCTTGAGAGGGTACACCCACACCGCACGCGTATAGTCGTCCACAATGGTCAGGAAATAGCGGCTGCTCGAGAGAGAAAGGGCCCTCGTAGGCCCCACCACATCCATGTGCACAAGCGCGAGCGGTGCTTTGGCTGGTCCCATGCTGCTGCTGAAGGGAAACTTCGTGAACTTCGTTTCGAGGCATGTAGGGCAGCTCCCAATCTCCTTCGCTGCCCCCTTCACCTCCAACCCCTTCAAGCTCCCATCCTTCACCAACTTCTGCAGCATAGGAATGTTGATGTGACACAACCTCTCGTGCCACGTCTCCCAATCGGCATCACCATTCCCAGATGAAGCCTTTGCCCATGCAGCGGTTGCATCCACACCAGCAAGCACCTCACCATGTGGCTGCTGTGGCTGCTGCACCTTCTTGACTGCGTCCAGGGCCCCAGCAGTTGGTGCAGTCTTCTCTCCCCCTGCAGCTACCTTAGCCGTTGCTGCAGCCGCTGCCGTTGCTGGTGGTTTCCCATTCCAAGGGATGATGGGCAGCTGCCACAGGTCCTTGATGCAGCTGCTCTTCTCCTCCAAGTCCCACAGCAGCAACTTCCCAAGCTTTGCACGGCAGCTGGTTGGGCCGAAAGTCACTTTGGCCTTGCTTTTCTGCAGCCGGCGCACAGAGAGGAGGTTAGCGGATAAACCTTCAACCAACAGGACATTCCCAAGTCCCACAAGCCCCCCATTGGCTCCCATCACCTTGGCATTCCCAACACCAATCACAGGGAGCAAAGCACCTAAAGCGGCAGCCACAAACTTGATCTTGCCAGGGGGCTTCACCTGATCAAGCAGATCTGCCCGTGGGGTCATGTGACTCGTGCAACCTGAATCGATCACCCAGTGAGTGAGGGGGTGCATCACAACCTTCCCAACTGAACCCACATCACCCCCACTCCCTTGCACATCCTCAACCACGAGGAACATCCCAGGGTCGGCTTTACCTTGTGCACCATCACCTTGTGCACCTGAACCTTGCACAGCGCCACCGCGTGCACGTTCACCACTTGGCGGCTTCATGCCTGGAGGGGCCCATCCCTCAGGCCGGCTGAAACACTTGAACCACGGGTGTCCAGCCTTCTTGCAGTACCAGCACGCACCCTCCATTCGGGTGCTCCCCCTGCCACCAGAGCTCCCATGCCCCTCATTATAGTCACCTCGGCCTCTCCCTCTGCCAAAGCCTCTCCCACGGCCTCGGCCTCTCCCTCCCCCTCTTCCTCTGCTGCCTCCTGCAGCTCCATACCCCTCAGCAGTTTTGTTGGCAGCACCACCTCCCGTGTGGCGCCTGCGGAAGTCCTCCTGCAGAATCTGCTGCCGTAGCCACTCATGCGTCCATTTGTCCTGCTGAACGTTGAGGGTGGGGATGAGGTTGTCCCACGAGTTGTCAAGCACCAAGATGATCTTGCTGCAGTGTTGCATCTGCGACACCTTGCTGCCCGCCACTGCCATCCTCGCATAGGTGTCCTTGATCTTGTCAAGGACCGGTTTCACATCATCTCCCAGTTTCATGGAGAGGGCAGCCAACTCCTTCTCCAACACAATCACCATCGGCAGCGTGTTGGGCTGAATCACGTCGCGTAGCAGCTTCCATGCCTTCGGTCCGGAATCATCCAACTCCACCAAATCCTTGATGTGCTGGAACATGTTGTTGTTGACCGATTGGAGGATGAGGTCGTACACCACCGCGCTCTTCTCAATCCACCGATCGCGGGCATCTCCTTCCCCCGGCATCTTCTCCTCTCCCATTGCAATTTTCAGCAGCTTGTAGCGCTTGAAGGCGCTCCGCATCCGCCCGCTCCATTCCTCATAGTTGGAGCCATCCAAAGCTTCGATCTTGGATGGTGGCGGTTCACTCCTCTTCTCAGCTGCATCTCCACTCCCTTGATCCATCTCCTCTGCTCCCAATCAGAGGTTTCAGCTCCCCCCTTTGCTGGTCACAATGTAGATCCACACAATCTTCACAAGTGTCGGCGCCAACGAAATTTCGGCAGAGTTTCCCCTTAGCGGAAGTCACATCCAACCTCCAGAACTCCACTTAGGCACGCCCACAGGCCATGGTGGGTCTAGGAGGGTCTTCACACTTCAGTAGACTCTCCACAAAGTCCATAATCAGCTCTGATACCACTTGTTAGAGACTAAGGACGGAGTCTACGAAGATTAGGTGCCTAAAATTCTCAAAATCGTTGGCTTAGAATTCTGGACAGAAAAATCGCGCTCACAAGAAACGCCGTCGACGAAACGTGCACCGTCAAAACTTCACCAAACTCAGATATGTTGTAGCTCTACTCCGTGGCTACAATTCCCTAGTTGAATCGTACGGAAAGGTGAAGCATTTCTTGAGTTATCAATTTCGGCGCACTAGGGGGTATGCTGCCATGGAATCTTAACTCAATCACAAGAGTCTCACACAAGTTCACACAAGAGAATTAGAGTAGCACTAAACCAGGTGGAAGGGATGAGGAGGATGAGAGGGAAGGTCCCAAGAGAGTCCCCAACCAAGGAAACCCCATGCCACACAATTCCCTTCCCCATAGGCAACCCAACTTTGACCTTTGTCACTATCCCAACCTCCACAATCCACCTCAACCCAACTTGGCCACACTTGCCAACCTGGTTTGGTTTCTCCCAACCATTTGGCAGCAGCTACAGTAGAAAAGACGAATTTCCCAACCCCCAAAAGTCTGTACCCCATATTGAGTCAACCCCACAACTTCCCACAGTTGCCACAATCAAATATGAAAGGCATACGAACTCCAACGTTCGTAACTTTCTTGATCGTGCCCCGATTGAAGCGATACTTGGTTCGTCGGAGAGCTCTTGAGCAGAGAAGTCACTTCAGATATCTGCTCAAGCCAAATAACATTTGCACACACTCAGAAAATTCAAACCACACAAAACACAATTTCTTGCACACGCTCACACCACGCATGCAACGCACGAACATATGATGGGAGGCAGACAGACGTGAATGCATATGATTGCATCACACAACACGTTCTGTGGCACCACCGGATGGGGCACCCGTCTCTCCCTCGTCTGCGCACTATGTCTCGTCAGCGTCTTGTCTTAGGCATCCCACGTGTCTTGCCGTCGCTGCCGCCTTCGCTTGCACCACCGTGCGGTCCCTGCGTCGAGGGTAGGCTGCGCGCCACCCCTCACTCCTCCTCCCTTCGTCCGGCCACCGAGCCTTTTGAGACACTCCACTTGGACGTCTGGGGCCCCGCCTCTCGCCTTGGCCCTGAGCGTGAGCGTTTCTTTCTGGTGGTCGTTGACGACTACTCCCGCTACACCACAGTGTTCCCCCTTGCGAAGAAGTCTGAGGTGACTTCTACGCTGATCAGGTGGTTGCTTACCACTGAGGGCACTCGTGGTCGTCGAGTCAGCTGTCTTCACTCCGACCGTGGGGGTGAGTTTCGCTCCGGCATTCTCGCTGGATTCTGTCGCGAGCAGGGCATTCGTCAGTCCTGGACGCTTCCAGAGTCCCCACAGCAGAATGGGGTTGCTGAGCGCCGCATAGGCTTGGTCATGGAGATCGCCCGCACCTCCTTGACTCACGCCCGTGCCCCCCGTTTTCTGTGGCCCTACGCGGTTAGGTACGCCGCTCACCAGCTGAACCTCTGGCCACGTGTCTCTCGGCCAGAGGTTTCACCGACTAGTCTTTGGACCGGGTCCCCTGGTGTTGCGTCGCGGTTTCGTGTCTGGGGTTGCTTGGCTCTTGTTCGCGACACCTCCACGGACAAGATCTCGCCTCGCGCCGTTCCCTGTGTCTTCCTTGGATTCCCAGAGGACTCCTCTGACCTCACCTTTTACCACCCTCCCCTTCACCAGTTCTTTGACTCCCGTGACGTCAGTTTCGACGAGTCCGTCCCCTACGACGTCAGGTACCCCTGTCGAGGTCTCCCGGTTCCTCCTCCCCCTCTCTTCCTGACTTCCGCTCCCCCTCCTGCTCCCCCGGTACAGCCTCCCCCCCCTGGTCCAGCCCCGTCAGTTGTGTCCCACGCTACCCCTCCCCCCTCGGTAGCCCCTCAGGTACAACCTCCTTCCCCGCAGTCCTCCTCCCAGCCTGCGGCAGACCCTGCGGGAGCTGGTGTTCGTGGCGACCCTGTCGGTGCTAGCTCTGGGGGTGCTGGAGTTGGGGCTGAGTCCGAGGCTGCAGGAGACTCTCGTCTTCCGGGAGCTGGTGTCGGTGGTGCTGACTCTGGGGGTGCTACGTCTGGGGGTGCGGGTGCGCCCCCTTCGGGTCCTTGTGAGCCTGGGCGTGTTGTTGTTGGTGGTACTGCCTCTAAGGGTGGTGCGCCGGGTGCTTTGGAGGGTGGTCCTGGGGCTGCTGCGGCCCCGGACACTACTCCTCCCCCCTACCCCTACCCGACCCGGCACCAGGCTCGTGTTCGCCGTGCCCGTGAGGAGCAGCTGGAGTTAGAGAGAGAGGAGAGAGAGTTGCAGCGGCTGGAGGTGGAGCAGCAGCAGCAGCGGAGCCTGGAGGAGCAGCAGGAGCAGCAGCAGCCGCGGGAGCAGCAGCAGCAGTCGCAGCTGGAGCAGCCGCCGCTGGAGGAGCAGAGGTCACAGCCGCACCAGGAGCAGCAGCAGCCGCCACCTCCTCCTCCTATCTCTGGTCTTCGGACCCTCGGTCTCCCCTCTCCCTCTCCTTCCCCCTCCCCCTCTCCTCCTGTCTACGGTCCCACGTTTCCTCCTCCTGACTCCTCCCCAGCTGTTCTCCCTCGTTCTCCGACTCCGTTATCTCCTCCTCCTTTGCCCGCCTCGCCCTCTCGTCGCTCTCCTCGTGCTCGTCCCTCGTCCCCTGTCGCTCTCACTGACCTTCGTACTGCCCTGTTCCGTTCTAGTCCGCCTCGTTCATCTCAGTCTGTGCTTCCTTCTCCTCCTGAGTCGGCCTTCACTGCTTCCCTCTCTACTCCTGTCACTGACTACTACCGCACGTACCGACCTGTTCTCCCTCGTGTTCTCGCCTCTCTTATTACGGACCCTCGTGCCTTTCTGTCCTTTGTCTCCGCCCTTACTGTCGTCGTCACTGAGTTCGGCACTAATCGCCGCCTTGACTACGCCACTTGTCTTGTGGCTGCTCCTCCTACCAGTCCTCTGACCGTCGGGGGTGAGTCTGCCCTTGGCTGTGACTCCCTAGAAGACAGGCAGTTTGAGCTGGAGTTCCTGGCAGCCGCTTCCCCTCATCTCTGTGCCATGCTGCTCGCCCCTGAGGGAGACCCTGACGCCCTTGAAATACCGACTCCTCGCACTTACGCTGAGGCAGTGTCAGGGCCTTGGGCCTCTCAGAGGAGAGCTGCCATGGACGCTGAGATGGCCTCCTACAGATCCACATGCACCTACGTCGACGAAGTTC